TTGTGCTTTAGGATGCCAGGGCTTCCTGCCTCTGTTGTATTATGACATCCCTACAACATGCATTATCTAACAAGCCAAAAATGCCTAACACTGGTTCTTGGCATGGAATCCAGAACCTTAAATCGCCTATTAAATCTAAGCCAAATCTTACTAAGGATTGAAAACTGGCTAAATTATAGGAATCTTAGAGAATGTTTGCTTATTGAAGTGTAGAGAGATTAATAAAAGCTGTCTTGGGTCTCTTATGGGATACAAGTTTTAATACATTAAAATCCATATTCGGTATACATACTAATATGTAGGAGAAAGCAATAGGCAACAGCTTAGTTAAGTTTACTGGTGATGCAAAGTTGTTCTAACTAATAATAGTGGTGAAGGTCAGGAGAAGCAACAGTTGTATTAAGGGATTGAGAGGAATAATAATTCTTAGCTATTTCTAAGATGTTTATCACTGTCCTGTGTCAAGAGGAGTGGATTAATTTTAATTTTGGATGCATCTTACATTTTCACTACCTCTTTATTAAAAAAATATCTGTGCTGACCCTTAGCCCAGGCTGCCACAAATTAGCCCTGCATTCTCTCTCTAATTCTCTTCCACTCTTCAATCTGCTGCTCTGCTTTCCACTCCCTGCCCTGTCTGCTGCTGTGCTGCCCCTCTCCTCCCTGGTCTGCCACACAAAGGCTGCATGTGCCATTTTTCGCCTGCGTGCTGCACATTGCCCACCTATTTCTGTGGGAAGGTTTTGAATACAAGGAGATACAGTAACTCACAACTGTCAAAGAAGGGGTCATTAGAAGTGATGAGATGAAATTCAAGCAGAAATTTTCCTTTGCTTTATCAGGGTGAAATTTTCTTTTAGTTAAGTCTAATGCTGTAGCATACTATCAAGAGAAGGACTGAGAACCTATTCTGGCTCTAGTTTTAACTGAGTTGAGCACAAAAAATGTGGTAGGGAAACCACTGAGCACTGATACAAATAGTCTACATTCCCTTTTATCATCTGTGAAAATTTCTTTGCATGCTAATTTAGAAAGTTAATTAAACCAACCTGTGGTATGGATGATGGATTACCATACAGTTGCGTTCTCTTGATGTCTGGCATTTCCTCCTGTTTACAAAGCCTTTCTAAAAGTGATTTTTTGCCTTCTGTTGCTGTATGTCCTCTCTCTGTTAGAATTCTCGGAAATTGGACTACGGTGGTTTCAGAAGCACTCCTCTTATGAGGAATGTTTGGCCCTGTAGAGAAAAGCACAGAGTGTTAGAAGAAAGGTGTAGTTTGGTAAAGCCAGAATCAACAAAGGAAACCTATGCTGCATTACTTTAAATTGGTGATTCTCAACCAGGGTCCCTTGAGATCTTTTCATGGAGTGCCACACAATGTTAGCACTGTCAGGTGGGCAAGCATGGTTCAAGATAAACCCAGAAATTTCAAATAGGAATCATAGTTTTAAAAACATTCTTACCTGTTGTGGTTATTCTGAGTTCTTTGAAATTGACAAATTGCTCTTTTTTCTGTAGTCAAAAAATGAGTGAGAACTAAAACCCAGCACTTTCTGAGGGGAACCGTGAGTCTAAAGTTGGGAGGAGGGGTGAGTCTAAAAAAGTTGAGAACAACTGCTCTAACTTTTGGCGCATGTTTTTTTCCAAATGCTGTTATTTGCTTGTCCTAACCTACTGGTAGGACACAGAATTGCCTGATGTATGCGAATCATTTATACCAGGGTCAACAGGACAGAAATTGACTGACTTCTTATAATATCTCCTGATACTATCACAGTCATACCTTTTGACTTCCCACTAACAAGTTTTGTCTTTAAGCTACATATATACATTGATGATAAATGGAAATTGCTTAGTTTTATACTTTCCATAACTCTTAACAACGTCTCCCCTTTGAGCAGTTTGCCCTCAGTTGAGTGAGTGAGTGATCCTTTTTAGTGATTGATTAAAACAATTCAGGTTTTCTTTTCCATTCTTTGCCTTTCCCAATTTCTAAATTGTTGTCCTTCCTTTTGACCTCTTTCCAGTATCTTGATTTCCTTTCTGGAATATGATAGTCATGTGATAGTCCAGGAATGATCATGATAATAAATACCTTTTCTGATTTTTGTGCTCTGTGCCTCTCTACATAACTACCTGTTTGGTGCATTCTAGGAGCTGCCCAACATTGACCTAATCATGAAAATAAAATGGAATCCTATGTATTCAGCTTTTCTCTGATCAGTATCTTAAATTCTTTATAACAACTTACATATCAATATAACTTGTTTGGTCACAAATAAAGACAGTTGTTTGTTAATTTATACATAGCATATAATGTTTTTCTGCTCATGCAGTCGCTAAGTCCATCACTATAAACTATTTGATGCTTGCTCCCCTCCCAACAAGTCATTATTTATGCACAAAAATAACCAATCCATTTTGTAGCCATTCAGATCTTGCTGTCACTGTTTTGTTAGCTCGGTTTGATACTGTGCTGAAAGATTCCTTGATGTCCAAGCATGTATTTTGTTTAAGCTCCATATTTCTCCATTAATAACTTCCTAAAAAAATGCCAGTATAAGCTTAACAGGAAGAGAGGCCCAGGCTAATACACCATTCTCTTACCCGTTGAGTGTTTCCCTTTGTCAGTGATAGTGCTAGAGGTGCACCAGTACATTGGTGCAATATCGGATCGGCACCAATATGAAGAAAAATTTGTGTATTGGAAATCAGCCCGATGTGGCTGATTAATTTGTCTGATAAATGCCTGTGTGCAGCCTCAGCTCAGCACATAGGTAGTGAGGAGCAGAGCCAGCAGCGTAGAGTGTTGTGTGCAGCTGGTAAGTCTGGTGTGGTGGAAGGGGAGGGGGGGGGGGTGTGGGGGGGACAGATCAAGGCCCCCATGGTGAGGAAGGGGCTGCTGTGCATGGCTTGTCTGGTGCTTGTCTGGCAGCTCCCGCTGCTCAATTGGGAGGGTACGGGGTGGGTGGCATGTGCCTCCAGACCTGTGCGGGGCAGGGCAGGGCAGGCTGGGGCCGGGATCTTCCTGACTGGGCAGATCCAAGGGCACACGCCTGCCCCATTCCCTCCCTCACTGTAGAGGCCTTGATCTGCACCCCCCCCCTTACACTCCTTCCCTCCCCTTCCACCACACCAGATTTACCAGCTGGACACAGCTCTTCAAGCTGAGGAGCTGTGTCTCAGAAATCATATCAGTATTGGCAGATATGCTTCCTTAAAAATCGGCTATTGGTATCAGCCCCAAAAAATCTCTATCGGTGCACCCATAGGTAGTGCAATTAAAATTTATTTGCTGTGAATGTAAGATTTACAGGCTGGTACTACTCTGATGTCTTCCTTTAGTCTTTTTCTCTCTAAATATAGGTATCCTATTTGTATTTCCACAATTTCTAATATGGTATTAAACACCTCCACTAAGTGTGTGGTGGGGGATTGTTGGGGGTTTTTTTTCTCCTGATGCCTGAAATTTCTGAAGTATTCTCTTCTTAGTTCTATTTTTGTTTTAAATTTCTAGTAGATTATTCTGCTGATAATGCTACATTTCCCTCACTTTTAGCAAGCACTGGAATAAATGCAACACTGTCTATGTGACACTGGTCAGGCTGCAGCTGGAGTACTGTGTTCAGTTCTGGGCACCCCACTTCAAGAGGGGTGTGGACAACATTGAGAGGGTCCAGAGGAGGGCCCACCCACATGATCCAGGGACAGCAGGGCAGACCCTACGAAGAGAGGCTACAGGACCTTAACCTGTTCAGCCTTTGCAAGGGAAGGCTGAAGGGGGACCTGGTGGCCGTCTATAAACTCGCCAGGGGGGACCAGCAGGGTTTGGGAGAGACCCTTTTCCCCCTAGCGCCCCCTGGGGTAACAAGGAATAACGGCCAGAAATTGCTAGAGAGTAGGTTTAGACTAGACATCCGAAGGCACTACTTCACAGTCAGGGCGGCTAGGATCTGGAACCAACTTCCAAGGGAAGTGGTGATGACTCCTACCCTGGGGGTCTTTAAGAGGAAGCCTGATGTCTACCTGGCTGGGGTCATTTGAGCCCGGTTTTCTCTCCTGCCCAGGGCAGGGGGTCGGACTTGATGATCTACAAGGTCCCTTCCGACCCTACTTCTGTGAATCTATGAAATAAATCACAGGTGTTTTTTTTTTCCTAGACCCTGAATAAATTTCGCAATTAGCCAAATAAGTAATAGCATGTTTAAACTTACACCTGGCATTTAACTCTGCAACAGTTCATGAATACCTCCAAAAAGGCAAGAAAGTCTTACCATCATCAGACGCTTTTCTCTTGATACCCAAGGGTCCTATGTTTGCAGTAACATCTCCCACTGAATCTTATAAAAGGGAGGGGGAAAAGTATTGTGTGAATAATATTCTGCAGTGGTGCTCAAAAAGAACAGATGTGCAAACAAAACTTTATAATATATGAATAAATAGGTTGAAGAAGGCAATTTAGAGCAAAAGTGATCTTCTGATCTGATTAGGTAGTATTAGAAAGTGTGTTTATACTCTCAAATCCAGAATCAGATGAGCATCTCATGTCATTGCACCTTGCTGGTGCTGACAAAAACACAGTACTGTCACTTCATTACAGTACTGACTTCATCACAGTGTCAGATAATGGCATGGTAGTGTTTATTGCCAGTTTGTTGGGACCATGTTACAGTACCAAAATGAAAGCAATATATATTATTATATTTTTTAATAATAAAGGTAACTTGAAATTAATTGAAGGTTTTTGAGGTTATGTATAATATGCAACATCCACTAAATAAAGTCCAAGGCACAGATATTTATCGTGATACCCTTTGCATCAAGTTAATGGGGAGCATTGAATATAATATCACATCGAAACAGGGTCCCTATTGTTTCCTCTGTATTATGCTTCGGTAATGTAATGTCCTGTGATTCCTTTTGTTTCTGCCTTTGCAGTTCTTTATGCATATTTTACAAGCCTGTTTGATTATCTCTACAACCTGTCATTTCACCTTATTTCCATTTCTCATGTTGTAATTAACTGAAGTTTTACACTTTGTTGAAAGCAAACCTATACATCTTAATGACCATTTCTGACATCTCTGCTTTTTCTCCTTAAATATCAGGACAGTTTCTTCACTGACTATTGCTGGTTTATTTTTGCAGCACAGATTCTAAGGTACCCTTTCTTTGTCTTCTCTAGCACTATGTTCCCTTGTAGGTAAAAGAGCAACTATCATTTAATTTAAAAAGACTGAGCTCACTGTGCTGTTCTTAGTACCTGATATGAGATTAGAGCTTTCACATTCCCAGCTAGCTGAATTTAGAGGTTGTCTTCTTAAGATAGAATCAACTTCATCATAAAACCTCATCTTTCTTCTGGGATTACCGAGATGATCATTTTCTTTCTGCAGTGCCCGATATTCGTATTTCAAGTTCTTGTACTTAGTGCGACACTGCTTCCAGTCTCTATCTATTCCACATTTCATTAGCCTTCTGGCAATCTCCTCAAAAATGTCCTTGTTTCTTGTTGCTCCTTCAAGCATTTGTTGAATTTTCTCATCTGACCATATGCTTATCAGAGCTCTGACTTCATTATCACTCCAGTGTTTTCCTGCACCCGTATCAGTAACTGTAATAACTCTAAAGTGACTCTGTGCATCATCCAAGGGAATTTGATTGTCTGAAAAAACATGAATAAAACAATAAATGAGTATTGCTGAACAGCCAGAAATGAGAACATATTGTAGGTAACATTAATTTTAATGAAATGGAGAGCAAATAACCATTAATCTCTGGATAGTCTGCCATAAAAAATTGTGATCTACGAAAATATGCACTTTAGTCATGTATATAGTACAGTGTTTTGTTTCTCTGTTTGACCTCCTGAAGGCATTGAGATTTCTGGTTTTCTATCAATTATTGCACCTTCTTATTAATTTTACAACTTTTGTATCCAAATACTCTGCAGAGAATAGCAATAGAGTACAACCTGAAACAGCAATTTTTATTATCAATGATGAGAAGAAAAATGCTCTTAAGTATTCTTTACAAGTAGAAAAGGAAATGCCAACATGAATACTAGCATGTTTAAAGATGAAAATGGTTCCAGATTAGCATTTTGCTCATTGACTGCTGTATATAGATGGTGATCATACTCGTGAACTGGGTATCAGAGTATGATCTGGCATACCAAGAGAAATATATTTTTTTCAAGTGCTTGGGAAATTTATAGACTAATTAAAAAAAATGTGGACCTTATTATCAGATAGGGAGTATTAGTGTAATTTTCTAAATACAAGTTTAACATAATATGGTGTAGTTACAGACCTGAGATGGGGATGAAAACCATTACAGGAACTTTTAAAAAATAACTGAGCCAAAGTAGCTAAAGTATGAAACAGATTTTAGAGAGCTGATTCATTTAAATATCTGTAATTAAAGATGGATAACAGGATTTTACTAGTACTTCAGCAGGAATGGGAAATAATACATTTTCAAGAAACTTATGATTGCAGCATATTACATAAGTGCATGCCTAACTGCAGGCATGTGATTAGTCCATTTGACTTCAATGAAACTAATTATGCTTTCAGTTAAGCACATACTAGTATCACTTGTATATTGTCAAGATAAGTGTTTTGGTAGCTAAAAGATTGTCACCCATGGTCAACTAGTTCACTTTCACTAAAAGCTGGATTGATGTGGGTGACAAGAAGTAACAGTAGTTTAAATTTACAGACTTTCAGGTAAACTCTTTCGGACTCTCCCTGGGGTTACTGAGATTGAAATCACTTATTCTCCTTTTAAACTGAGGTGTGTATGAAACTGGACACTTACCTGTCCCAACTCTCTGCTTTGCTACTGATGGACCAGGTATATCCTCTGAGGTAGTGCTTACAGAATCATCATCTATTAGAAAATGCAGTTTTACATTAAGTCTATTTAGAGATGTAAAATGTTTATATTCTCCCCACCTTACCCAGTGCCACAATATCTATTTCAATTAAAATGACTACAAACCATGTAAAGTTACTTCCAGCTGCCTCCAGTTTTATTTTCCCTCCCTCCTCTATAATAAATTAGAATTAAAACTCAGATATTTATCTCCCCAACACGTGGCAGCACAAAATACTGCAACACAAATATTTATTAATATAATGTAAATACCAGTATGAAGATGCATGAGAGAACTGCTTAGCACAGAAGTGGGGATTTTGTTAAATCACAATTAGCAGGCCCTATGATAATATATTAGAAGTGTAAAGATTGAAATGTGTTGGTTAGACAAGAACAGTCTAGGGTAGGCCACTAGCATGGGAACTTGGTTTCCGACTCTACTCCACTGCAGTCTTTGGCAAATTTCTCTGTGCCTAAGTTCTCCATTTGTACAGAAGGGATAATGGTACTTCCCCATCCTACAAGTGTTTCATGACTGACTATTGGTATATTAAAGATTTTGAGGCACTTCAGACTACGTTTTCACAGTGTCTTCATTGTGAAAAGCCTAGTAGAAACAAAAGTGAGCAGGGACAGCAAACAGCCCAGTTTGCAAGCAGTTTGCTGGGACCTGGAGGAGGGGAAGAGGAAGAGGAAGCCTAGGCATTAGGCACCGGATCCATCTCTAGAAAGATAAATGAGTCAGAGCTGCCTGTGTATTTGGTTCATTGAGTACTTGTTTGGTGGGCTGTAGGTTGTAGCCGTGTTGGTCTAAGGCAGGGGCGGGCAATTATTTTGGGCAAAGGGCTGCTTTCTAAGTCTTGGCAAGCCATCGAGGGCCACATGACAGGCAGCCCAGGGCAGATTAATATTAATTTTCTAAATTTTTTAGGAGCCCCACGGGCCAGATAGAATAGCCTGGTGGGCCGGATCTGGCCCCCAGGCCACATTTTGCCCGCCCCTGGTCTAAGGACATAGGCAGACAAAGTTCTTTGGGTGAATCTGATATCTTTTATTACACGTTATAACCTGTCTAACATCTGACTCCCCAGGTACTTCTCCACTATTCATCCCCCTTCTCTCCCCCCAGCCCCCTGCCTGTCTCTCACCCACTGACTTCTCAATCTATATCTTCACTGACTGCCTGTCTTGTATGCAGACCAGCCCAGCCTCTGGCTTCTTGACTTTTCATTCCATCCAGGAAGAGCACACACCAACTGCTGAAACTTCCTTAGCCTGATAAAGGGTTTTTGAACCTGCAAGCTTGCTTAAAAATTGTTTTCCAACTGTTTAAGTTGGTCTAATAAAAGATATCAGATTCACCCAAAGAACCTTGTCTGTTTGGTGGTCTGTGTGCTTGGTCTTGTGCTCTGAGCAGCTGGGACTGCTGCTAGCTGAGTGATTGCTAGGTGATTGCTGCCTGTGTTTCACAAAAGCCCTAACGAGTGGGTATACCCATGCCCAGCCGAGTATAAAAGGAGTCTTCCACCAGGGAGTGTGGGACAGTGAACAGTGACAGTTTGCAAGCAGTTTGCAAGTCAATTCCCAGATCAGTTTGCCGTACCCCCCTCTTGAAAGGGGACTTTCAAGATAAGCTCTTTCTTTAATTAAAAATAGCTACCTAACCTACATATTTTTAATATAAGGACCTAAAACTGAGGAGTTAGACTTGTACTTAAGCCCCATTGACTAACTAGAGTCCTAAGCAAGGGGGAGTTCACTAGGGAGCTTGTCTGGAAATTCTCTCTCACCCGTCTTCACGGTAAGCTTGGTGAGAGGAAGCAGGGCAGAGAAGCAGCAAACCAGTGAATAGGCCAGCTAACAGGGGAGTTTGCTGGGGAGGTCTGCTTGGAAAGAGGGGCAGCGGAAGAGAGGCAGTAGATTGAGACCAAGAGAAATGGCTGGAGGACATTGCAATGCCAGAGCCACTGCCAGCTCTTCCTCCATTTGCACTGTGAGGTGTCTGTCCAGGTAGGACTGCTCACTGTCGAGGCTTCCACCCAGGCCTGGGTTTGCTGCTATGGAGACTACAGCTTGCAGGTTCCCTCCCTCCAGTGACAGGTGGGGGAGTGCTTGCAATGTGAGTGGTGCCTTCTGGTAATGTCCCTCAGGGAGTAGGCAAGAGAGCTATAGGCAAGGCTCTAAAGTATCCTCCACCAGAAGGCCTTCATCAAACCAGTACTGGAGGACACCTCTAAGACTGGAGGAAGGACTGCCAGAGGCAGCACTAGAAAAGGGAGAGGACATGGATTTCCAGGGAAGTGGAACCTGGAAGCTTGTGACCCTCTGGCAGAAATATTTATTTCCACCTGCAGAAGTTTGCCTGGAGAGTGCTTCCTTGTGGCGCTGAGGAATTGCTCTGGCTGTTTTTGTTTTTGTTTTTACCTCGTTGCGGCCTGAAATTCTGGCTGCCGCCTCTTCCGCTGCATCTGGTGTGCCAGGACATTCACTTAGTTACCGGCCAAGTAGGGGAGGAGTTCGTGGCTCCACCCCGGCCCTGAGGAGGGATCAGGGGTGCCCAGAATTACATCCTGCAGGGGGTCCCCAAAGATTGTGGGCCAGCCCTGCATGTGATTTCCTTCTCATACAAGTTTTACACCACGGTAAGTTTCTATTTTTCAATTAAGTCACTGCTGATTTGCAAAGGCATAGATGAAAAGAAGATATGGGCCTATAAACACCATAGAAATAAACTATTGCATGTAAGCAGTTCACATGACTTCTAGTGGTGCACAGAACTCTTTTACTGCTTTCTTTATTTTACTTTTCTTTGGCACAATGTTTGGGTAAAGATATTTAATTTAAAATGTAAGTACCTATAGGAGTTTCTTCATCAATACACACTCAATTATTGAGGTTATGCTGGTATCTAATGTTGCATGAGGGGAATCTGACCTAACCCTCCAGCTGTTTGTGACAACTGACAATTTTAACTCTTAAATCTGTTCATGAATGTATAATACCCCATAAACACAATACCTTGCTGCTGTCCTTGAGACACGTTGCACAGCGCCCCCAGGCTTATTCAAACAATACGTAAGAGTGCTTAAGCAGGACTCAATTACTATTCAAGTGGTCATATGTTTGTTATGCTATTAACGGGAACAGACCAAAGCAGTGTGCTCATGGACCGAAGCGGCATGCTCACAGATTGCTACACCTTAGAGCAGGGGTGTCCAACCTTTTTGAATGTGGGGCCGGATCACGAACTTTTTATCACCCGGTGGGCCAGAGAGCCATATTCAAAGACCTCACAGGAAGTGGTATCGCATCAAGAAGTGATGTCACGTGACCTTTGACAACAGTGAAGTTGCAGGAAGTGACAATGAAATGGGTCTAAATAACCAGTTCAAAACTCTCCCTTTATAGCATCCACCTCTGCCACTGTTCAGGACAGGATACTGAGCTAGATGGACCATGGGGCTGACCAAGCATGGTACTTTTTATGCTCTTATGTTCAGAAGCTCTTATGTTCTTTGGCTGAGCTTCCAAACTATGGCTGAGATTTGCAAAAAGGGGTAGATAGGCATGTTACAAAGTTGTCACAAAAGATTTGGAGCCCTCTAAATCCTATTCATTTTAATGGAAGTTGGCCTTTTGACTCAGCTTTGAAAATCTCAGCCCAAGGTGCCAACCAAATAAGTCAAAATATATTTTGCATTTCTATGCAGTACATCTATGTGGGGCACTCCAAGCATTTTACAAACATGAAATGAACCTCAGGATGAGCCCAGCCAGAGGAGCAGGGGCTCAGCTGCACTTTCCCCCTACCTGCACTGGTCAGTCCCGAGCGGCACACGGCTCCGCCGTGGCTTCTACTGGCTGGTGCTGACTCAGGCAGGTCTGTCCCATCTGGAGCAGCATGCAGCTGAAGCTGGCTTCCCACGTGCTACTGGGGATGGGAGGAGCCCGGCCGGGTTAGCAAGTGGCAGCGGAATCGTATGCCACTCAGGACTGACGGGCGCAGACAGGGGGAAGATGCAGCTAAGCCCCTGCCGCTCCAGCCGGGCTCGTCCTATCCCATCCCAAGCGGCATATGGCTCCACCGCCGCTTCTGCTGGCTGGTGCCGACCCGGTCAGGCTCTTCCCAGCCCCAGCAGCACGTGGGAATCCGGCTTCAGCTGCGTGCTGCTCCAGATGGTACAGACCTGCCCAGGTCGGCACCAGCCAGCAGAGGTGGCGGGGGAGCCATGTGCTGCTCAGGGCTGACCGGCGCAGGTAGGGGGAAAGTGCAGCTGAGCCCCTGCTGCTCTGGCTGGGCTCATCCTGTCCCGAGGGGCACATGGCTACTCCTCTTCCCACACGCACCACGTCAGCAATGTCAAGCTGTTTTCTCTGTTTTTCCGTGGGAAACAGAAAACCAGGATCCCTGCTTATGAGGAAAGGCTAAGGGAACTGGGCTTATTTAGTTTGGAGAAGGGAAGACTGGGTGGGGATTTAATAGCAGCCTTCAGCTAATTGAAGAGTGTTCCAAAAAGGATGGTGTTAGACTGTTCTCAGTGGTGGCAGATGACAGAAAAAGGAGCAATGGTCTCAAGTTGCAGCAAGGGAAGTTTAGGTTAGATTTTAGGAAAAACTTTTTTACTGTGAGGCTAATAAGGCACTGGCACAGGCTACACAGAGAGGCTGTGGAATCTCCATCCTTGGAGGTTTTTAAGACATGGCTTGAAAAAGGCTTGGCTGGGATGATATAGGTGGGGTTCCTGCTTTGAGCAGGGGGGTGGGAGTAGATGACCTCCTGAGGTCCCTTCCAACCTTAATTTTTTTGATTCTTGCATACAACAAGCACTGTTTCTAGAAGCTAGTTTTTGGGGAAAATTTTAGTGTGCATTGTATTCAAGAAGTACAGTAAGAGCAGTTTTGGCCACTTACTAGGTAAAAATGAAAGTAAATATGCTCACAATCCACAGGAATAGAAATCTGAGCCTACTCATTGCTCTAGTTGCTGTCATTCAGTTACTAAAAGAAAAAAT